CGTGCGGGCGTACGTGGGGCCGGTCACGGCGCTGCTGTCGGACCCGCCGGTGCTGGCGCTGCTGCAGGCGCTGCGCATGGCGGCGGCCGCGAAGCACAACGGCGGCGCGCGGCTGGCGCCGACCGATGGTGACGTCATCCTTGAGGAGGACGCGGCCGACCCCGCGGCGCTGATGGCCGCGGCCGCGGCTGCCGCGCGCCACCCGCCGGCGCGGCACACGCTGTTGCACATCTCGTGCGGCGGCTGCGAGTGGTGGGTTAGTTGCGGGGTATGGCCAGCGAGTGACCTCAATGCCTGTGCTGGCTCCAGCCAACCTCATCTTCTTGGCTGCAGCAAGTCTAGAGCTCTGCACAAAATGTATTCTCTTGGACCCTGGCATCAGCATGTCGCCGGTCCTCAAGCCTGGCCTTCCTCACCCCTCCCCTTCTGCCAGCTTGCCGGAAAATCCATGCGCCGTACCCCCCGCCCCCCCCCCCCAAAAAAAAACAAAACCGTCAGGGACACCTTCCACGCCATGTTCCAGCACGCCACCCTCAGCGGCGACGCCCTTGACCACATTGAGACGCTGCTGCTGGACACCCCCGGCCCTGTGCCCAGCGATCACCGCGCCCTCAGCCTCTACGCGCTTCTGTACCAGGTGGGTTCGGGTGCGGGTGGGGGTGGATTGGGATCAGGATTGGGATTAGGATTGTTACAAGATCCCGTGGTCGCCCGCTCCTGGAGCCATCCAGGCGGGTGCGTGGAACAAGTGGGCTTCACCGCTGTGTGCACCTGCTGCGTGCTACTGAGTTTACAAATGCGTGTAAGGGACCTGGATGTGAGTGGGTGCAGGGGAGGCTGGCCCTGCTGCGATACCGCCAGCGTCCCGCGTCAGCCAAACCTGCACCGGGCGGTGCCACGGCTGCCAGCCCTCCCTGCATGGGTGGCTTTGCACTGTGCTCTCCACCTGCGGTGGGGTCATGCGATTTGATTCCATAATCAACGTTTGTTTCCAGCCTTGCGCCCGGCCGTGAGGCACCACGCACCAGGGGTGCAACTCGGCTGGCCGTTATGGTCAAGGTCCCCACCGCCCGCCCTTGACCACCCGTCTCTTCGCCAGGTCCATGGCTTTGTGGGCTTCACCCACCACCGGCTGCCCAACGGGCAGATCCGCCTGGGCTGGGTGCGCGCCCCGTGGCGCGCCGCCGTGCGCGCGGCGGTGCTGGGGCGTGCCGGCGGGGACGGCCGTCCGTCTGCGTCAGCGTGACAGCTGCTGCCTGTTGGACGACAGCAAGCTCGCTGTACAGCGAGGGCGGCTATTGAGAGATGCGGATGGCTGCTGTGCCGTGTGGGTGACGTTGGACTCTGATCACACGCCTACTGAAGGCTGTGGCCTCAAGAAAGAGCCGGATTGCCTGGGTTCAGGGAAAGATGTTGCACACCCTCTGGGTCTGCTTCAAGACACATTTCATCCCTCACCCTCAAGACGTGGTAGTGGGGCGGTGCTGACAGCCAACAGCACTGACAGCGGCCACCGGCTGTTGTCGCGCGCAAGGCTGCGTCTCCGCACCTGTGTGCTGGTGCCCGACGCCGATTGTTTGCAGCCGCCGCAAGGCCGGCGGGTTCTTCAGCATGCATTCTACGTGATTAGCTCTGTTGCGGTGGTTAACCTCGGACCTGTAGGCCTTGAATGCACTTACTCCTTCACTGCCTGTGACCTGCACAACCTGCCCCTCCTCTGGTAATTTTCATGCAGTCATCCGTGCCGGGGTGGCCCAGTGATTGGCAATTCACGGGTGTCTGTGCCCAGGCCGGCCCAGGCTGGTGCTTTGCCCGCCCTATTCAGTCCTTTTGGTTTTTCAACAGCCCATGAGAGTGCTGGGACACCGAGGCAACATGGCGTGCACAAGCAAGTCTTGGTGCAGTAGGGGTGCCCAGGACAGGTGAGCTGGCCCAGCCCACCCGAGTGCAGATGGTAGGTAGGTTGCGCCCAGCTAGAGAGTCGGTCTACGCACGCAACCTCGCCTCACGAGCACCCACCCACCTGATGCTGCGTTTAGAGTCCCACTCAACAGTTGATATCATCAGTGTCTTTTTACAATAAGGACGGTGGTCACCTGCAGCCGGCTCGATCCACGCAAAGCATCACCTGGTTATTGGCGCGATTAAGCAATATCATCACTCGCCCGTGCAGCGGCAGCCCAACGCGCACCCATCGCTGCCGGCGGGCGTGCGTGCTCTGCACCCCAGAAACAAATGTGAGCCATGCATGAAGTCACAAACAACACTCTGCTCGCGTCGAATCTCGCGTAGGCCAAGCTGGCGGGGGGCCCCGACACCGCCTTTGTGCGTTCCTCAAATCAGCAGTGCGGCCGACGGTTTGGGCAGCATAAGCATCTGCCCGCATAATGCGCCTCTCTCGGCGCCGAAAGTGAACACGCGGCCTTCAGAACCTGAATAGCCGCAGCCTCAAGGGCAGCAGGAAGACCGGCAGGTTGCCTCAGGCCCCACCACGAAAGTTGAGGAGGGCGCTAGGCGAGCAGCGCGGCCAGCAGCGTCGCGCCTGCCAGCGCGCTGGCCGCCACGCGGGCGCTCGCGCCGCCGTTGCTGCCGGTGGGCGTCGCCGTCGCGTTGGCGTCGCTTATGAGCGCCACTGTGGTCGCGTTGGAGTTGGAGGCGACGAGGGAGGTGGGCAGCACAAATTCTGGGGGTTCCATGTCGATCACGAGAGTCGGGCCTTTCCCCGACGGCTGGTGTCCGCCGTAGCCATAGCCGTAACCAGAGCTCGCGCCGTGGTCGCCGTAGGTGCCGGGGGTGACGGTGGGGGTGTTGCCGCCGTAGGTGCCTGCAGAGGGTCGGGTGGGATGGGGGCAGCTGTTTGTTTGATCACCAGAGGGAGCTGCGGGCGCAAGGTCACTAGGCGGGGCCGTACCGCCTCGGTGGTGCTGGTGCCCCGGCTGGTGTACCCCTCATCTATACACGAGTGTCTTTACGCCAGGATTTGCGCCCGCTCAGCCCGCACATAGTGCTGCAGCAGCGTTGGCAAGAGCCGCCGCGTTGTGAAGGCTGGGCTGCAGGCAATCAACCTGGCGTCCAAATCCGTGCCCACCTGTCGCTTGGGCACTCCCCAACACGGTCACAAGTGCTAGAAGCACCACTAGAGTCTTGAACGACATTGTTGTGGAAGGGAGAAGGAGTCGAGAAGGAAGGGTGAACCTCGCGGGAGCTACCTTTTGCCTCGTCAAGCGGGGCGTGTCAGTAAGGCTCGGGTTGAGGCGTGGGATAGGAACGTTTGGGATGGATCAATGTCGTTCAAGCGCTGGGACGAATGACGGCGATAAGCTTGGCTTTTGCGCGGTATGCCCGACCAGCTCCTGCCTCGGGCATGCCTCGAAACTTGAAAGCCTCTCGTCTGCATTTGGGCGCAAATCTTGATTTATACGTCAATCATATGGCTGATGACTTAACTAAGCAGAACAACTTTGTACGCAGCATGCGGCGATGCGAAGCGGCCATTCCACGCCCCAACGGTCTGAACAGAGCAGCCGGTGTCCACGGTGCAGCACCTGCGAGCTCACCGCCAGACGCAGAGGGGCCCTACACCGCAGGGTGTCGGGGACGCTGGCGCGTCGTGGTATCGGATGCATTTTGACCGGAAGGATGACCGGGGTGACCGGAGTGACCAGGGTGACGAGGGTGGTGGGCAGGCAGTGTGGGCAGTGCGCGAGCCTGCAAAGCTGACATTTTGGTTGCGTCGCAAAACCAGTTGTCCCCTGGCCACAAACAACCGTTTACATTATGTCTGCTGCAAGAAAGCGTCGTATGGGGGTCGAAGCTCCCCCTGATCGCCATCAACACATTCAAACCATCACCTCACAGCTTTGACGCAGCGTGGTGACTGCCGTGCGCTGCTTCAGTCATGCTGGGTGGACGAAAAGCAGGAGGCGCACCGATGCTCCTGCAAGTCACAAAGAAACACCATAAAACACCAGCAGGCCACGCGCTCGCCCCGGAGCTTCTTGTGTGGTATTGGGGTGTTGGTCTCTCCTCCAGAATTGTCACTGCGGCCAGCCCGCTTGCAGTGTCACCCCGCACAGTCAAATCCTTGGTGTGGGGTGGCGGACCCGTTCAAAACCGCCCGGGCAGCATGTGCAAAGCAAAGGCACAAAACATCGTACGATCCACCGCATGCGGGCACACACAGACAAACTTGTGAGGCCAGGCAAGTGGGCGCCTCTCGCGGCGCCGCACAACAGGCCTGTGAACTTCCCGTGATATAGGTTGGAGTGTGCAGGCTCTGATTGATGCACCCTCATGGCCGCATTTGGGGCTTTCACGCATGCCTCCGCCCCCTCCTGCGGGCGGCGCATCAAAGCAGTCACTCGGCAGGCACCAGCTCGCTCAAGGAGACATGGGAACAGTTTTGGTGGAGTTGGGGCGAGCGAGCCTCGACAGACACAGGCGCCCTACCACCTGGCTGCACTCATACAGTATTGACGCGTGCAGGCCAGCAGCGTCTAGCCCCCAGCCACCAACAATATGAATGGGCGCTGACAGGCAGGGCAGGACGGCAATGCAGCGCACGGGGTGCTGTTGTTGAGGAGCGGATGCCCATGGCATGCGTCGATGATCGCATAATTGCGAGGTCAAGAGTGGCAGCCTTGACTGCTGTTCCGACCAAAGAGCAGTAGTCAACGCTGGCGAACGGGTGCAGCGCCGACGCCAGCACTGCACAATCCAGATCAACCACCGCCGTCAAGGGGAGCAAGCCGCACGCCGCTGCCCCTCCCGCGGCGCAAAACAATGCCAAACCGTGTGTGGGCGGCGCCCCGCGACGCGCCGCGCTCACGCCGCGACCAGGGTGGCCCCCTCAAGCGGCGCCGCGGCGAGCGGCGCGCTCCTGAGCTGCGCGCCAAACGCCTCGCGCCCCACCCACGCCGCGTGGAAGCCGTACGGCACGCGCGCCGGCAGCGCCACCCGCGCCAAGGGCGCGTCGTCCATGGTGGCGGCGTCCCAGATCCCGAGGTAGCTGGAACCGGCTGCCTCGTCGTGCACGAAGGTGACGAGGAAGCCGTCGTCCTCGGACGCGCACGCGGCGGGGTCGTCGTGCCTTTCGGGGAGGGCGTGGTTTTCACGTGGTTGCAGTCAAGAATAGCCTGTTGTTGCTTGTGTGGTAGCTGAGAGCAGATGTGGGCGCTGGGTCCTTGGCTTCTTTGCGCAAACAATATGCACAGTATGCGGTGTTCTCGTGTGCACGCAAGTATTCTGTCTTGATTGGCGACCGCCTGCCTGCCTGCCAGGTGCACCGCCCCCTGCAAGGCCACCGCAAGCAGGCCAGCGGCGCCCAAGCACCATTGCAGGCAGGTCCGTCGGTCGCCCTGCGCAGCGCCCTCCGCACCGCGGCTTCAGGCAGGGCCACCTTGGAGATTCCGCAGTTCCAGGCTGTCACGGCCATGCACAACAATTGCCCTGCGTCCTCCCCCCCCCTAAAAAAAGGCCGCCGCACCCCACCTGGGCACGAACATGGTCTCCCCGTTAAAGTGGCCCGGCGGCAGCTTGATGCGCCCCACGCACGCGTCGCCCTCGCCCTCGCCGCGCGTGAGGTCGATCTTGGCGACGCCGTCCCACTTGACCGCCTTGCTCTCGGCCACCATGGACGCCAGGTAGGCGTAGCTGAGCGGGTTGGGCGAAGAGTTTGGGCAGATATTTTGTGGGAGAAGGTTTAATGGCATCTTGTTGTGGTCAGGCTGTAGCAGAATGGCAGGGTCCTGGTTGCGGCTGCCTCCCATACGTGCTGTGTGCTGGGTGCCTGGTTCAGGCCAGGCACGCAGCCGCGTCGGCTGGGTGCGGCGCAAGCGGCGCGGCATGGGGGGCTGTTCGCAGACAAACGTCAAGCGACAAGAGCCGGGGGGCTGGGTCGCATGCAAAGCCCTGCAGCTGCATCTGGATGACCCCAAATTCGCACCGCCAACCACCCCCACACTGCCCCCCCAGACACCCACCGCGTCTTCTGGCCGGTGCGGCGCGGGTCTATGGTGGGGAAGTCCCCGACCGCCTCGCTGAGCACCCGCAGGGAAGCTTCCCCCGTGGCCGGGTCCAGGGTGACCACCGCGGTGCGCGGCTGCTCGCCCTTTGGGATGCCCCCCGTGGCGCTCGTCCTGCGGCGGTCGGCGGTTGACGGTTGGCGGTGGGCGGTTGATGATCTGGCGGTCGGCGCAGGGCGGGCCGGCGGGTGGTGGTTGTCTAGCCAAAGGGTTTCGAGGGTCGAGCGCTTCGGCCTGCAGCCCGCCCATGATTTGATAGGCGGCCCGCTGACGCCGCATGGAGGGCGGGGGCGCGTCTGCAACCCCAATTCTGACAGCCACCGCTATCGCCAAGGACAGACGAAAGCGACCCACAGACGGGCGCCCTGCAAGCACCTGTGGCTGCCCCGGGCTCCCCCCCCCAGTGTGCCCCCACCGTGTGTCGAGCTCGAGGCTGATAGTGTCGTGGTAGCACACAAACAGCTTCACCTGGGAAAAGGCGGGAAAACGTATAGTTCTTATTATCACTTTGTCTATAGTTGCTTTGTGCATGAGAGGTCACATGAGAGGGCGTGCCGGAGCGCAGGCTGGGAAGATGAGCAGTGGGCGGCAGCGCGTGGGTTGCCCCATGGCAGCAGGGTGGTGGGGGGCCGCACCTTGCCGTCGCCCTCCTCCCACGCGTTGATGACGTGGAAGAC